ATGTGTGAGCTTTGGGGGACATTTAGACGCAAGCCATAACCCCTACCAATGTACTTGCAAACCAGTTTTCGTTGTGAACTTAGTCAAATTTTCCCATAAAGTTCAATGTAAATAAGGTTAATATATTCTGAACCATATGTATTTTTTAGCCACAAAAATACAGTACATTATAATATAGTATGATATGAAGAGAGAGAACACTAACCTTGCTTGAGGCGTATTCTGGTGTGGAGAACAGGAAGGTGGGTGGAAGGGTTATTGTTTGGAGGAAGAGTCTCCCTCCATAAGGATATAGGGGACATCTCCTTCAGGGGTTTCTTCTCTTCTTTGTCTCTTACCTACAGGGTCAATTTTGATGAAAAATCTGTCTAATGTCACTATTTTTTTCCTGCACTGCATAACTCTCTGGAAATGAGAGGCAACATTATCATTCATAAGATTCAACACTTTGTCACAGTTAGGTTGGGGTGATACTTGTCAAAGAAACCCTGGCACTATTTCCATTTTTCCATAATTAATTTTATCATATCACTGCTAACCACCTCCCTGTCTTCCTCTTTGTCAGTGGAATGCTCCTTAACAGCGCCTTCTGCTGCTCACTCTGAAGTTCAGCAAGTTCTTCCATCATCACCTCCTCCTTATGGTCCTCAACAAGCTCCTTTATGTCTGTACCATCAACGTCCAAACCCATACTCTTGCCCATGGATACAATCTCCTCCACAACCAGTGCATCAGACCCTTCAAAGTCACGTTCAGTGACACATTTTGACCAATTTCCTCCAGGCTGAGTTTAAGGTCCGGTACGTGACATCTTCCCAGGGTTTGTCAATGAGGATGCAGTAGAAGACACTGAAATATTTCTTCCAGAACTGTTTCAGAGTCAAGGACTTCTCTTCAATGACATTAAAACATCTGTTGAAGAGTATCTTTGTGTACAGTTTCTTGCAGCTGCAGATCACTTGCTGGTCCATGGGCTGCAGAAGAGGTGTCATGTTAGGAGATAGGAACTTGACCTTTATGAAATTATACTCAGCATCCATATTCTCCACCAAGGCTGGAGGCATTGTCCATCAGAAGGCATCTTTTAGGCAGCTGGTTGTCAGAAAGATCTTTCTTTTTTGTTTGGTACCAGGGATCAAACTTGGAACTTTGTATTTGCTAGGCAGGCAACCACTGAGCTAAATCCCCGGCCCAGAAAGATCTTTCTTAACAGTCAGTCCAAACACCTTGTGCAGCCATTCCATAAAAAATTGCCTTGTGACCCAAGCTTTCTCATTGGCCCTTCACACAATAGGCAGTCTGTCCTTGTTCACATTCTGTTCCTTAAATGTACAAGGGGTCTAGGAATGTTAACCAGTAGTGGCTTAATCTTTAGATAGGCACTTATGTTCACATACAATGAAAGGGTCAATTTGTCCTTCTTGGGCTTGTGCTTCAGCAATGGCTTTTCCTCCTGCATGATACAGGTTCTGTTCAGCACCTCTTCCAGAAAAGCCCTATTTCATTGCAGTTGAACACGTGTTGAGCATGTTCTTCCTTCTACCTTGATGAATTCCACGAATTCTTTCTTGTAGGCTTCTGCAGTGGCCTTGTCAGAACTGGAAGCCTCTCCATGTCTTATCACACTTCTCTGTGGAATTTATCAAACCACCCTCTACTTGATTTAAATTCATCAGTTATTGTACTTCTGGAGGGGTTTTATTGCAGTAAATGACTGTGCAGTTTCCTGGCTTTTTCATAGATCATAGCTTCACTAATATTGTCATCTGCCAGCTATGTCTCATTCAACCACACTAACAAAAATTTTTTCCACTTATTCCAGCATTTGTGTCCTCTGCTTGGTTTGAACATGTTTACTCCTTTTAGCACATCAACTTCTTTGGTAGCATCTTTATTCAAAATAGTTGAGATTGTCAACCTCTCTATCTTGTACTGTGAGGCCAGATCAGTCACACAAATACTGTGCTCATGCTTTGCTATATTTTCTTGTTCAATTCAGGGGTTATTTTCTTAAAAACCTTCTTAGTATTCTTGCTCTATACTTTTTTATTACCTCCATTATTGCTCTACTCATTCTTGACACCTTCATTACTTCTCTGCATCTTCTTTTTCACAGAAGTGTTTATGAACTGAGGCATTACTCTGTGTGTTCTAGAGAATGCCCCATGTGCATTGCCTTCTTTCTATGAGATCCTCTGATATATGAAAAGGTGATATTTTCCATTTATTTATCTCTTTATTTTAATCTTCATTTTTTTAATTTTTTAAATAACAAATCTCCAGAATCTTAAGAAGTGTAAAAAACCCCTATGTGTTATTTCAAGCCAGAAGTCTGGGCACAGTCTAGCTCTGCTGGGTTTTCTTATTGGAGTGTCACAAGACCAAAGTTGAGATGTACGTAGGACTACATTCCATCCTGGAATCCTGCAAAAGAATTTGCTTCTAATCCCTTTCACATTTTGGTAAAATATATTTTCTTCTCAAACTTTCTATGTGGTCCTTTCTATCGTAAAAGCCAACAGTAGTGGCTTGAATCTTTCTTGTGTTTCAAATCTGCCTTTTCACTAGTCAGAACTAGTCAGAAAAGATTGTCCTTTCTTTTTTTTTTTTTTTTTTTTTTGTTGGT